TGAAAACTTTAGTAGTAGATACTAGGCAAGCTAACTGAAATGATTTTAAGAACTTTTAGAATACTGACAATACAGACTGAAATGATACTGAAAATAAAATTCTACTAATGTATTATCCCCCCCTCCCACCTTTTCTTTCTTGTGAAAATATGCATATGCTATATGCATTGTTACATTCCACCAAGAGCTCTAGGTTTGATTTCAGGAGAGCAGACTAGATCTGTGAAGTACTGAAGAACTGTGTTCAGTAATAGCCAACAAGCTGATAAATTTACATGCTGAAAGCAAGCAAGAGAAAAGTTGAAAAGAAGGATATTTAAAACCCAGGCTCTGAGACGCAGTTGATTCGGAACACTTGATATGGAATGTAATGATGATCTCTTAAGGTCCCTTCCAACCCAAACCATTCTATGATTCTACGATTCTGTAATCCAAAAGGTGATACCTTCTATCAGTAGCTTACTATTTCAGTATGTAATTGCTAATTTGTTTGTCATATCTTTTTGGTGAAGAGGCACTGTTTACCTTCTAAATTCTTCTGCTTTTGTAGACTCCTCCTAACACTGACAGAGGAGGATTTCACAAAAGAACCTTACAGTATAGAGAACAGTAACCATAGAAAAGCTATTATGGCGGAACTGGAATGCGTGAAAACTTTAGGCATTAAACCACCACAGAACCTTTGGGAATATAAGGTAAATTTTGTATAAAATCTGTCGTGTATATTAAGTATTTTTAAAGTAGTAACTTTAAAAGAAAATTCTCTTAAAGCCAGGAGGAGTTTTAAGGTAGTAGAATTACCTTTTTAAAAACGGCTCAGTTTAATGAAAAATGTATTGTATTCAGTTGTATTTGAAAAATGATTGTCAGAAAAATCTAAGAACTGGCATGTCCCTTTCATTTTATTTTTTTGACTATTTGAAACTTGATAATCTGATACCTTTCAGGCAGTAAATCCAGGAAAATCACTGTTTCTTCTGTATGCACTGAAGAGTTCTCCAAGACTCAGTATGTTATACCTGTATTTGTTTGATTATGCAGAAGCTTTCCTACCTTTCATCCACACAATTTGCCCTATGCAAGAAGACAAGTATGAAGATATTGTCACAAAACTACTAGTAAGTGTTCAAAACATTAAGTACATTACATGCTTTAATTATAGACATTTTAAGACCAGCAGCATAAAAAGTTCACCATTTCATCTCTCTACAATACAACTTAAAAAGTCCTACAAAGTAAGTGGTTCCTTGATTTTATAGTATGTGATCACCAATGTTGTGATCATTACCTTTAATAAGATTGATTTAAGGCTTTTAAGATTTTAAATCTGTGAAACTGTTTTTGTTTGGTTGGGGTTTTTTTGAAGTTCATATGACTATAGAAAGGCTGTTCACTCAAAATACCCATATTTTAACAAATGGCATTATCAGATCTGACTGTGATGTTTTATTCTAATCTAGTGGAAATTACTGGGTTATAGTATTATCAGAAAGTGTAGTAAAGATAAATTACTGCTTTCAATGTATGAAAAAAACAATTTTTCCACAAAGGAGTAGTGGAAATAAGCCAGTATTGTATCTGTTTAATAGGAAATTGATTAACAATCTCTTTTTATCCTAATTTACAGGACCTTAAAGATCCTTCTTGGAAGCAGTGGAGAGAATTCATTGTAAAGTATTTATTTTTGCCATACCAGTTGATAGCTGAATTTGCTTGGGATTGGCTGGATGTGCACTACTGGACATCAAGATTTATAATTGTAAATGCCATGTTGCTCTCTGTTCTGGAATTATTCTCCTTTTGGAGGCTTTGGTCAAGAAGAGAATTGAAGTAAGTCTTATTGAGTTGTTGAAGAGGGTGGGACGTACATGGCCTTATAAACAGAAAGTAACAGTCTTACAGTTTCACAGTTGCTCACTGAAATGACAGTGTCTAACCACAACTCTTAGGTTAGTAAGAACGTGGGAATCTGAATCCACACATATGCTAGTACTCACTCTTGAATATCTTTAGTTCTGTGAATACTTGAAAGGGTTTCTTATAGCTGGTTTTACTGATCAGATGTAGCAAATGCAGTAACGGTAATAAGCATGTTCTTAACCATTGGGTAAATATTGACCCTTACCTAGAGAACTGCCTTTCATAGTAACTGGTATTAGCTGTCAGCTGAGAACTAAACACAGAAGAATTTTGTCATGATATGCTTATAATGTAGTTATTAAAGGATGAGTCCTCAGGATCATAAATAAGTTTAGTTACGCTGATATTATTTCTGATAGTTGATCAAAATTGCTGTTTTCAGTTACTGCTTTAGCCTTAATTCAAGAATATAAATATTACTTCATAATTGCTGTGATCTTTTATTTCTAGTTTTCAGAACTTGCATGGGAGAAATTCTTGTTTTGGTCTCCCCTGGGTTTTCACTTTCTCTGCCAGTAGCTAGGGGGCAGAACATCTTCAAAAGAGAACAGGGTACATGGACATCGTCTCTGACAAATCTGGAACTTGACCGCTTTAACTTGCTGTGCTTTGTGGTCTGAATAAATTGACTTAATGCTTCCTCATATAAAATCTAGTGTTACTGTATTTCAAGAAAGTTTTTCTGGAGTGCAAAATGATGTTTTACAGGTACCTGAGTAAGGGCTAAATAATTGGCTGCTGCAGCACATATTAGCTTTTTTTAGAATGGGTAAGAACAAAACGGAAGGTTCCTCTAAGCCTCTCCCTTTCCTTTTTCACAGGACTATTCCTCACAGAATGTGGAGGCATTTCTGGAAAGTCTCAACGCAGGGTCTTTTTGTTGCCATTTTTTGGCCTTTTATTCCTCAGTTTGTCTGCAATTGTTTGTTTTACTGGGCCTTGTATTTTAACCCAATTATAAACATTGATCTTGTGGTTAAAGAAGTAAGGCATCTGGAGACACAAGTATAGTGACTGGCATTGGAACTTTTGAGCTGTTTAACTTCTAAAACTGGACGTTTGAAATAAGCTTTGCTTTTTTTCTTTATATATGTGGCAGTGAAAGTGGTAGATTATGTTAATTTAAACATACAAAAAAGCCTTAAGGTAAGTTACTCTTAAACCAGCTGATTCCAAATCTAAGGTTGGGCTTTATTATCCAAAAGGAATTTTCTATTGGGGGAAAAAAAATTACATTCCTGATTTAGCCATGTAAAACTTATATAGTCATGTCATCCTATTTTTGATCAAATCAAACTTCTGTCTTGAGCATTGTGGTTATTTTCAAGCCTGCCTTAAAATCAGTGTCTTCTGTACAGCTACAGTGAT